AAAATAACATCACATTATCCCAAATTATAAGGGACATTTTTCATTAAATAGTCGCTTTCAAGTTTTATTTTCACCTTTCGTCAAAGTCAGAAACACTTTTCAGGTTTTGCTAAAAAAATGTTTATCACCAAATTACCCCTTAAACCAACCAAATCACTATCCTATTACAAATATAAGTAACAACTAACAACAAAAAATATATATATATATATTTTTATTTATATATATATTTATATATATATATATATATATATATATGAATTAATAATAATTAATAACAAAAGATGAGATAAAAATTTATGAAATCATTTATCTAAATTAAGAGTGAATAGGAAGATTTACACTCTCAATTATAACATTTTTTAATTTTTAATATGTATATTTATCATACCATTCACTCGTTCGACGAGATGACAACCATAAATATCAAATTAATTATATGATTACAAAGATCTCTCTCTTTACTCCCGTTCTACAACTACAATTACAAAAAAAAAAAACATTTCGGGAAATATAAATAGTAGTGAATAAATCAGATAGAAAATTGAACTACAAACTTCCATAAATTCCATGTAAGATTATTTAATTTTGTTCTTCTATATTGACTATTATATCAATCTAATGAGCTTTTCTATTTTATGTTATACACACTAATTTTTTTTTTTGTCATTTAAAATTTATTTAAAGATGAAATTACAAAAGACAGTGGAAGAAAGTAATATATGTATCGCCCCGACCGCCATTTTTCGCAACTTCCAGAAGATTTAAGAACTTGTTTAATTATGGACCCTAAAAGCACCAGGTGATCTTTGTTTTCACTTACATAGTGCCGACAACTACTGTTTGATAAGTCATCAATCCTAAAATTACTCTACACGCTTAACTGTAGAGTTCTCTCGGGATGTTTGACAGAAAAAATAAGTACACTTTAGGGGAAGGTGTCAAAATCAATTCTCTAAGGCTCTCTTGAAGCACCACCACATTTCCACAAATCAAGGTGTTACAATAACTCCCAATATCAGAACACAACATCCTTATTGCGTACAAAGATCGTCACCGGTGATGGTGTGAGCCAACTTCACTCTACACTCGTCGGAGGTTTGGCTCTGATACCATCTGTAACATCCAGACTGCCATTACCAGTGGCCCTCACTCACGTCTTCTCTTAGCAGCTCAGCCCATCATGACGACCGATTCACTATTTTGGAGGCTTTAAAGACTTGTAAACCGATCCTACAGATCACCACGCAATCTTTCTTTGTGTTTTGTCTTTACTCCTACGTTACCGACAATCACTTTCCGGTAAGTGACCCATAATAAAATTATTCCACCTCAAGCACGCTTAACACTAGAGTTCTCTCACGATGTTCGGTTGAAAAGATAAGTGCACTTTGATGACATAGGTGGCCAAAGTAATTCTCTTAAGCATCTCTCATGCACGACATATTTCTTGAAATATGGGTATAACATTCACCTTCACTAACATATCACAACGTCCTTGTTGCGTACCAAGACTGTCGAGCCCAACGATGTGAGCCCTCTTGAGTCTACAATTATCTGGTTTTGTTTGATAATCGGTTCGTTATTTATAGAGGCTTTAAAAACTTGTTTATCTATCATACAAATAAACATGTGATATTTTTCCGGGTTTTGTCTCCACTCATATGGTACTAAAAATCACTTCTCCATAGGTCATGCATCTTGAAATTACTCAAACTTAAGCACACTTAACTTTTAAAGTTTCTCATGATGTTTGACACAAAAGATAAAGACACTTTGGACATACGTGGCTGATATGTAATGGTTTTTGTTTTTCAACCATGATATAAGTCTTATTTATATAGTACTAGATATGGACTCGTGCGTTGCACGGGTTGCCTGTCGATATTATTATTCTTAACTTTTAATTTTATTTTTGTAAACATAACGAAAATTATATAAACATATATATTTTAGATAATGTAGCATTTTAATTATTTTTTAAATATAGATTTATAATGCATATTGTGCAGTATAAAACATTATTTGTAGTTATGTTATACTAATTATTAAATCATCTAATATAAACATGGAAAAATGGGTACAAAAACCCTCACCTTTCCTAAAAACATGTAAAAAACCCTCAACTTTTTTTGTGGTTTTTTAAAGCCTCACCTTTTTATAAATGGTAAAATAAACCCTAATATTAATAAAATCAACTTAATTTTTTTTTAAAAATCGTTATATTTAAAGAGTAAGAAACAAAAACAATTTAATTTTTGATTTTTTTTCTAAATTCGAGTTTACGATTTTTCTTTCTAAAATTAGGGTTTTTGCGCTATGAAAATTCATTCACCATTCAGTTGAGATTAGACAAATCATTTTGCTACCATTAAAGTTATGTTATATAAACTACAAAAATTTATAGGATATTACATTTGATTTTTTTTGTTTGAGTGTTCAGGTTTTGGATAAAAATATAGTTAAATAACGATTAATTAAATGTAATTTATAATATATTTTAATATATCGTAATATATATATAGAAATGTTAACTGTTAGTAAATCTTATTTAGTTTGTCCAATGAAAGTATTTTGATGTGAAAATTCATGTACTTTTCGTAGTATTATAAAATTTGGTTTGGTTTCACGTTAGTAAATTTGTGTGATCGAACCGAATAAACCTTTATTAATATAAACTCATATCCGGTTTCGATATAAGAATTTACATATAATTCGTAACAAAATCTGTTTGGTTTCACGTTGATAAATTTTTGTAACACAACCGAATAAAACTTCACTAATTAACTTTTTTACATCATGACTTAAAAATTGAAAACTAAAATCTTAGAAGAAAAACACTAAATCAAATTTATATTTATTTATGTTTTAATATAACGATTTGTTTGAATTTAAATTAAGTTTGTTAATACTGGAGTTTATTTGACCATTTATGAAAAGGTGGGGGTTTAAAAACCCACAAAAAAAGTTGAGGGTTTTTTTATATGTTTTTAAGAAAGGTGAGGGTTATTATAAGTTATGAAATCATAAATGTCCATAGGTTGTATTATTGAATTTTAATAAATTATTTACATCCATTGGAAGAGTTGTTTTACATCTTATAATTTTAATGTAGGCAAGATGGAAATAAACTGTGACAATAAGAAAAGATGAAATTATATAGTTACGTGGCATTGTCAATTTTTGGCTCATATCACCCATTTTTCGTTTTCTCTTTATTCTTTCCGCTCACCGGCAATAAATTCTCAAATCTCTCTATTTCTCTCATAAAATTTCTCTTATTTTTGCTTGAACTCCTCTTTCTCTTTCCTTCTCTCCCTTTTTTTTCCCCTATCTCCATTTCTTCCCTTCATCGGACATCACCATCGAGTCTCACTACTCTGATCCACAACACAAATGAATCTCACTACTATCACAATCACTACCACCATCAATACCGAATCTCGCTAATTTCGATCCACCATCTTCATCAACATTTATCGTCGCCACCACCACCAAGCTTGAACAACCGTCATCAACACTACCACCACTGTTATCGCTTCTTCTCCTTTTTCCACAACTTCTCTTACTACTCCACTTTCTTTATCTTCTCCGACATCAGGCCAAGCCTCTCCGACAACAACTCTAGTTTATGTCCATCGCCGTTCATAATTCTTAATTTGCCTCCATTGCCATATATTCTTTGGTTCTGAATATCACATGATATTTTTAGAAAACCATCGTGATTCACAGCGTTTGTTTTAAT